TTCTTTTTTTAGTGATTGTGAATGGTACTGTATTTTTAATTTCAGTGTCCACATGTTCATTGCTAGTATACAGAAAAACAATTGAGTTTTAATTTTTATTTTGTATCCTACATCCTAGGTGAACTCACTAATTAGTTGTAGGCTTTTTTTTTTTTTTTTTTTTTTTTTCCCAGGTTGTCCATTTTTTGGCCTAGAGTTGCCTGTAGTAGTCTTAGGATGCTTTGTATTTCGGTGGTGTCTGTTGTTACTTCTCCTTTTTCATTTCTAATTTTATTGATTTGAGTCCTCTCCCTCTTTTTCTTTTTTTTTTTTTTTTGTATATTCCACAGGATTTTCTATCTAGACAATCACATAATCTACAAATATAGATGATCTCTTCCTTTCCAATCCGTTTTATTTCCGTTTGTTGCCTCTTGTGCTGGCTCTTTGCTGAGTAAGAGTGGTAAGAGTGGGCAGCATTGCCTATTCCTAATCTTGGGGGGCAGCATTCAGTCTTTCACCATGAAGTGTACGGTTAGCTGTAGATGATTTTTGCACATGTCATTTGCACTTTGTTGTATGGGTGTGGGTGGGACCATGGGGTTTTCTGTGGTGTTTGGCTGATGTAGGGCAGTTACTATCTAAAAGTTGTCTATCTTGCTCGAGGCAGCAAGCTTTTGTTGGAACCTTTTTCGTCTGTGCTTGTTGGCATCTCCAGGTTCTTCCGTTCCAAGTGAGGCAAAAAGAAAATGCAGGCCTCTCACCATGGTATCCTTCCTCCAGGCCTGAGGCCCCTCACTGGTCTGCCTTCTTCACCCCGCCTTTCAGAGTCCTCTCTGGTTTGTTTTACATATCACGTGCAGGGGTTTTTCTTGTGCACAGCAGGTGGAATAGGGAAAGGTGTGTCTGCTGCATCCTCCTGGAAGTGGAAGTGGTTGGGAGAAATTAAAGGATTGGGTTGAAGCCAGTGTGTGAAGGGCCTTCACGCCAGGGGTTTGACTCTGTAGGTGGCAGGAGGGATGTTGGAGGTTCAACTCTGCAGCAGTGTGGAGGGATGGGGAGGGGAGTGGCAGAGAGACCCGGAGGCTGGTGCCTGGGCCCAGGGAGGTGAGGATGCATTTCTGGACTGCGACAGCAGACGTGGGGCAGAAAGGAAGAAGGGAGAGTCCATGCGGGCCACAAGGAAGTCCGAGGACCAGGTGAGTCTGAGGTTTCTAGCTTGGGCAACTAGCTAGGGGATTGGGGAGCTAGGGAAGTGGTGTAAGTGTAACAGAGTAGGTATATTCTAGGCCTTTTAGAGCATGACCGGAAGATTGGACTAACTGTGCTTCCCTTCAGGGCCGGCTCCGCAGAGTAAGCCTGGCTGCTGTGTAAAACCCAAGGAGCACACATTCTGGGCAGAGGAAACATTGTGGGGAAAGGCACAGATACAGGAAACGTCATGGTGGGCCTGTTGGGACTCCAGCTAGCTGAGGCATAAGTGGGTAGTTCTTGGTTCCATAACTGGGAAGGGTGCTGTAGGAGTTCACAAAAGCAAGAGGCTCTGGAATGGGAGTTGATGCTGCTGGTGGTCTATCTGGCACCTTACATTCTTTGTGTGTTGACAGCAGTCTTTCCTACTGCAGACAGGCCACCCTCCCTGAGGGGCACCACTGCTGACAACTCCCACTTACCAATTCCAGTGAAGGGAGAACTCCTTTCTCTGCATCCATATATTAATCCTAGAGAAAGGCTGTGGTTGGCCCAGCTTGGGTGATGTGCTTGTCCTTTTTGACCTATCACTGTTGCAGGGAGTAGACTAATCTGAGCCAGATGGTTTACGCACCCACATTAGATCAAGCCAGGCCTTTTTTTTTTTTTTTTTTTGGCCACACTGCATGGCTTGCAGGATCTCAGTTCCCCGACCAGGGATTGAACCCGGGCCATGGCAGTGAAAGCTCGGAATCCTAACCACTAGGCCACCAGGGGGCTCGCAAGCAAGGACTTTTAAGGAAGAAGGCAGAAGAAAAGCATCTACGGAAGATAGAAAAGAATATTTACTATGGTTCACTGTATAATATCTTTTGAAGAATTTATAGTATGGCAATGTAGGAACTCTTTGGAGAGTTTTAAAGCAGGGGACTTGATCAAATTTAGGTTTTCTTAAAATTATCACTGTGTAAAGTTGTAGTTGGAAATAAGTAAATGAGTAGAGCTGGGGAGACTGGTAGAGAGGCTGCTGCTGTAGTTCTGGGGAGAACAGATGAGACCTGAGCTAATTCAAGTCCTTGGATTCTTATGTCATTTGGACTTCACCCTCCAGCCACAGCATCGTGGCGGGGGCGGGGGGGGCGTTGAGGAGGGGGACAGAGTCTGGAGACAATTAGGCAAATAGGGCGTGGTGAACAGCTGGAGGGGGCAGGTGGTGCTTCAGGAGGACTCACCACCAGCACCAACTGTTCCCTGAGAGACTAGCTTTCTCTTTGGAAACTAGTCATTAAGTGGTGGCAGACTCGACATATCTTTCTTATTGCTTCTTAAGAAATGTGGGTGTTACTGGCTTCTTGTGGTGTCCTAACTGGAAAAGGAAGCTGATTGATTCTACTTTTATCCCTTTAAAAAGTTTCCTTTCTTTAAGGAATCAGATAATAGGAGGTGTGTCAGGACCGCCAGTCCGAGAAATAGATGGCTGGGAGGAAGATGCAGGCCTGAAGGCCCTGCCTCCCCCATTGCTGCCCTGGGGCCTGCAGGTCTGCTCTGGAAACATTTATCCTTTTGGCATTGTCCTTGCTGGGAAGGCTTGCAAGAATTTTAAGCAAAGAAATGACATAATCTGACTTATGTTGTAACAGATTCCCTCCTGTATTGAGAATAGGCTATGGGTGGAAGTGGGAGTGACACCAAAAATAGAAGCAGGGAAAGCAGGGACACCAATTAGGAGGCTATTGCAATAATCTAGGCTGGTAATGGTGGAGGAGGTGAGAAATGGTCACATTGTGAATGTATTTTGAAGGTAAAAACCAGAGGATTGGATAGAGAGTAAGAGAGAAAGAGACGAGACAAGAGGAGAATGACTCCAAATCTTTGGCCTGGGCAACGGGAAGACCATGACCTTAAACTGAGATGGATAAGATTCTGGAGGAGCAGGTCTGAGGGAAGATCAGGGGTCTGTGTGAGACGTGTCAAGTTTGAGACATGGAACACATCTCACACAGACCTCCTGTCCACTTGACATCTTACCTGAAACAGGCAGTAGGATATATTAGCCAGGCGTCCAGAGGTGAGGTCTGCACTTGGAGAGAAATCTGGGCATCCTCAGCCTATAGGTGATATGAGACTAGGTGAGATCACCCAGGGGGTGATTGAAGGCATACAGAGAAGACAGGAGAACTAGGACCGAGCCCTGGGGCACTCTTACATTAAGAGGTGGGGAGATGAGGAAGAACCAGCAAAGGGAAAGAACAGCCAGTGAGGTAGATGGAAAACGCAGAGTGCTAGCCTGGAAGCCAAGTGAAGAGAGTAGTCAAACAAGAGGGCATGATTCACTGGTAGCAAAAGCTGTAAGAGGAGGACTCAGACTCGCCCTTTGGATCTAACAACATGGAGGAGAAGCTAAATGCATGCTTTTGGACCCAAGCTTAGCCTTTCAAATAAGTCATAGTGCCCGCCTCGAAGGAGAATACAAGTGTGCTAAAAAGGGTCATTTAAGATTGATTGAAACAAGTCTGAGAAAGATGTGAAGATAGTATCGTGGGAGCCCAGCAGAAACAGACAGTACTTCTGGCTTTTGTGGGGAGGGTTGAGGTCAGATTAATTCATGTCTTCATTCGTTCAGTGATTCATTCATTCATTCCACAAAAACTTTTTGAGTGCCATGGACTGAGAGGAAGGGAGAAGGTAGAGTTGTTGTTTAAGGGGTGTAAAGGTTCAGTTTTGCAAATGAAAAAAAGTTCTGGAGATGAATGGTAGTAGTTGCACAACAATGTGAATGTATGTAATACCACTGAACTGCACACTTAAAAATGGCTAAGCTTGTAAATTTTGTTATGTGTGTTTGACCACCACCACACACACACACACACACACACACACACACACACACACACACACACACACACACACACACACACACACACAAAATCAGAAAGGAAGAAAAAATCTTATTGAGCCCCGCCATGACCTTGGTTGGGAATATGATGTTGAAATGGAAGTCATTTCAGTAGAAGGAGATCATGTGGAGAGAAGGGGAGGAAGACATCCAGCTGGAAGGAATGCTTAGAGAAGGGTCTGGGCACCAGTCCTGTCTGTCTAGATTGAAGCATCCACGGGGGGAGATCACAGGAGCTGAGGCTGCAGACTCAGGCTGAGCCAGTTGGTGCAGGCCTGGCAGCCTGGCTGTGGAGTTGGGCTTGCCTTCTTAGGTTCTGGGAGCCTCTAAAGGTTTCTGCCCATGGGAGTGTCATTCCAGAGATGTGCATTTAGAAGCTTAATCTCATTAATCCTTCCTGTTAAACCCGTTGCCTATTAAAAGCAGTGGGATTGAAAGCATGCATTTCTCTGATGAAAATTGTGGCCTAGCAGAATTTTAGATGCCTGGGCATGTGTTCACGAATTGAGTACGTTATTTTCCCACCCATTTTACAAATATTTATTGAGGACTGTCTAAATGCCCATAGTATTCTAGGCACTGGAGGTAAGGGAAGGGGTGAATTTCTCAGTTCGTTTCTCTTGATAAGCCTACAGTCTAGGGACCCCATTCCCAAATAAGAAATTGTGCTACATTGTACCGCATGTTACCATAAATGTCTCACCGGGGTTCCATGGGAGCCGAGAGGAGGGTGCCTGGCCTGTCTGGGACCCTGGGATGGCTTCCAGGGAAAGGCTGTCCAGTGGATTTGAAGGATGAGCAGTATTTTCTAGGCAGAGAAGCAGAGATAGACATCCTGGGAGGACAGTAAATCAAAACTTATTGGGGTTGTAAATTTAAAGAAAACATGTAAATATTCTCTTTTAAAGTTAAACTCTTATTTCATTGGCTTTTAGGTGGTGCTGGCTAGAGTGCATGCTTTTGGACCCAAGCTTAACTTTTCAAATGTGGAATGCTAGGCCTTCATTGGTAAGTTTGTTTGATGCCTTCTTACCAAATTATGCTGTCAAGGATTGGTATTTGGAATGAAGGGCAAGGTAGTTATCATTGGTGCTGCTCTGTGAAGGGTGCCAAGCCTGGACCCTAGAGAAGCCTACAGTATAGGTGGAAAAGATCCACAGGAGAAGTGGATCCCACTGTAGGTTTCTGCGGTAGGTGCAGAGGGAGAAGCCAGAGCAGAAACACCCAGGGGTGCAAGGGATGGACGCAGCTGGCCTCACAGAGAGGTGCAGCTTTGGCTGCATTTTGAAGGATGGACAAGTCCGGGGGGGGAGTGAAATAAGCTTTTCAGGCTTCAGAAGGTGGGTGTAAGATGTAAAGAAAGTGGGCTCAGCAGAAGACCCACAGGAACAAAAACTTCATCCAAAGGAGTGGTGAGTAAGAACTTCTGCAGGATCTGCTGGTGGTTGATTATTCTATTCTAGACCAGGGTCAGCAAATTTCTTCTGTAAAGGATCAGATGGTAAATATTTTTGGCTTCCTAGGCCATATGGTTTCTGTCATAGCTACTCAACTCTGCCATTATAGTGGGAAAGCAGCCATAGTTAATATGTATATGACGGTGTGGCTATGTTCCAAAAAAGCTTTATTTACAGAAACAGGTCATGGGCCGGATTTGGCCTGTGGGCTCTAGTTTGCCCACTCCTTTTCTAGACCCTGAATGCTGTGCTGGGCTAAGGCACTTGGACTTTGTCCTGAAGGCAGTGGGAAGCCATTGAAGTTATTTGGGGCAAAGAAGTGAAATGGCCGAAGTAACACGTTAGGAGCATTCATCTGATAGCTGGACAAGAAGCATGGGTCCTGTTCCAAGGCAGCAGTAGCAATCCAGGTGTGAGGTCATGTGGTTAACAGTGCTTAAAATGGAGAAAAGGTCCAATAGGAGAGATATTGCAAAGGAGGAATGGTAGGATTTATGGTCTTCTTAGACTCTAAAGACAGGAGCCAAAGGAGATGAAAGTTTAAACTTGATAGTTCACAATGGTAACATTGACAGAAATGTGGCTGTTGGGGATGGAGAAGGGTAGTTGATGCGTCCAGTTTTTGATACACTGAATTTGAGATGGTACTGATTCATCCACAGGATGTGTCTAGTAGGCAATTAGAAATTCAGGGCTGGGGATTTCCCAGGCAGTCCAGTGGTTAAGACTTCACCTTCCAATGCAGGGGGTGCGGATCTGATCCCTGCTTGAGGAGCTAAGATCCCACATGCCTTGTGGCCAAAATACCAAAACATAAAACAGAAGCATTATTGTAACAAATTCAATAAAGACTTTAAAAATTGTCCACATCGGGACTTCCCTGGTGGCACCGTAGTTAAGAATCGGCCTGCCAATGCTGGGGACACAGGTTCGATCCCTGGTCCGGGAAGATCCCACATGCCTCGGAGCAGTTAAGCCCGTGTGCCACAACTACTGAGCCTGCACTCTAGAGCCCGCAAGCCACAACTACTGAGCCCGTGAGCCACAACTACTGAAGCTCACGCGCCTAGAGCCCGTGCTCCGCAACAAGAGAAGCCACCGTGATGAGTAGCCCCCACTCACCACAACTAGAGAAAGCCCGTGCGCAGCAACGAAGACCCAGCACAGCCAAAAATAAATAAATAAATATATTTATTTATTTATTTAAAAAAGTGGTCCACATCAAAAAAAATCTTAAAAAAAAAAAAGAAATGCAGGGCTGAAGCCAGGGCTGGGAAGGGTAGGTCTAGAGGTGTAGAACAGAAACCATAGGATTAATAAGTTCTCCCCGTGATGAGCAGAGGGCTGAAGCAGAGAGTCCCAGGAAGGGAAGAGGATGGGGCAGCAGAGACCACAGAGAAGGGACCTGAGGGAAGGCTGCCAAATTGGTGACAAGGTGGCTACAGTTGGCCTTGAGAATGAGATGTGGGGAGGGGGGAAGGGGGGAGGAAGCCAGGTTGCACAGGGTCCATCATAAATGACGGGTAAAGAATCAGATACATTAGTAAAAGTGACCACTTACGGAGAGTTTGGATGGTAAAAGAACGGAGACACAAAGGTTTCAGCGTCTGCATGCCAAAATAACCTTTTCTTTAGCTTTGAGGCAAGCAAAGCATGCCACGACCGGCTCTCTTGTCCTTCTCTGGAGCCAAGTGTGTTTGGGAGTTTGTGTGTACCTTGGGCTTGTGATGGTGTTCTTATGCTTTCTTTGAGGTGTGGTGTTCTGAGTTCTGTCATAACTTGCACCAACGGAATCTAGCCCATGTTTGGACCCTTGCCATGAGACAAGATGTGATCTGTTGGGGAAATAGTTGCATTTGCCTGAGTTGGAGGAGAAAATAGGGTAGAGCAAGAAACGGAAATTAAACTCCTTACTGCAGAGTCTGCCCAAGTATGGGAATTTGCGATAATTCCTCAAGTCGCTCAACTAGATAGCAATTTATGTTCCGAGCATTTCGAGTGTATGTTCCTTGGTTTGAATTCTGAGTAGTCTTTGGCTCGGTTTTTGCAAATATAGCAGTTAGAGATGGAGTCATAAAAAGCAACAGGTGGAACTGGTTTGGAGCCTCCGTTTAGTGAAGTCTCACTGTATCCCAGGCATAGTGCCGAGTACTCTGTAGGTATCATTTTATTTCAGCTTTGCAACCACCTGTGAAAGAGGAATTAGCGTTCCCACTTCAGCAATAAGGAAATTAAATCACAAGAGGTTGCCTGAGGTTACAAGGGATTTGAACCCAGACCTATCTGACCCCCTTAGTTTATGCCACTTTCTGTTTTCTCCCACCTGAGTCTGGAATTTCTCCTCTAACGTACATAGAAGGACTGGAGACAGAATGAGTTCTTAAGGTTAAATATTCAGAGCCTGTGGTGGGTATTTCTGCTTCTTAAGAGCCTATTAAAAGTGTGGAAGCAGTATGGGATCCTTGGGGGAGACTAAGGCCAAACTTCAAACACTAACTCTTTCC